TAATAGCTTCTTGTTCCTACTAGTAAGGCCAGGAGCCCCTAGTGGCGTCTCCAACCTACTGGCGATGGCCTCCAACAGAAAGCAATACAAAGAAGAGCCTCCAACCCTGCTAGCAATATGGCCTGCGTGAAATTTGCAAGAGTTCTGACCTAGCGCCGCCATGCGCCGCTAGGGCTCTTTCCATCCAAACTAGTGAGTTCAGCCAAGGATGTGCAGCTTTGACCTTCCAGTTCGAGATGTGCGAGAGGTCTGGTCGGCGGCAGCTTAAGGTTTTAAAGCGATGCCAGATACTCCAACAGGAAGAACTTCAGACAGTGGAGTCTCAAGATGTTTCAGTGGTTCACAAGTATGGTTTCATATTATGCATATAATTAGTATATATTGATGTATATAGTTATGTGGTAACATTGGTCACTTCGAAGGTTACATTTAGACACCTTATTCAATACTTAGGACTTTTGACTCTTTGGAGTCTTGGAATTCCATGTCATAAAGAAGGCTTCCTCTCAACGAACGCACCTTTGGGTTCGGTCAGGAATCGACGCCCCCCAAAGAAGAACCTAGAAGCAATGGCCTCCAACCTAGTAGCAAACTATATTAGACCGTTATTTGTGTTTTTCTTTTTCTTTCTTTTCTAAGAGCGATGGCCTCCAAGCTAAGAGCGGTGAGACGGGTCTCCATGGAGACGCATCGCGAGGCCAACAGGTTGGGCCTTTGGTCCCTGCTTGCCGAATGGGCCAATCGTCGGCTGGACCAACTACACCGAAATGGTTTGGCGCTGAGAAAAGTTTGGACGATGTTTGTGGCGGGTTTGTGCCGGGTCAAAGTGTCAGTGTTTGCTTCTTTGTCTTATTTGATTGACCTTGTAAGTAGATCGGTTCGTGTTTTCGATGTAGCAATTCTATGTTGAAAGTTATTTCGATGGATGAGAAATGTATTGAAAGTCCAGGTGACATACCCAGTGAGCCAATGTCTTGTGTGCATCCAAAAGTGTAAAGCTTTCCTGGACAGGATTGTGTGCAAAACCCATCAGGTTCTTTGCAGACTGCAGTCTTCATCAGATAGCATGGATTAGCCGAGATTGAAAGGAACACATTCTTGTTTCCGTAGGATAGCATGTCCAAGACTTCACATCGCAGCGTTCCAAAAATGTGCTTAGTATCAGGTGAACTCGAGCCTGTTCGCCAACGGGACACTCGCAGTAATGAAGCTCAGCAGCATATGCCCAAAGAAGCTGCATGCTCAACGAGTCGTTTTGCCTTCGAATTGTTCGCCTTCATCTGAAGCAAAGGATTTTTGCTACTAGCTACTAGCAGTGATGCACTTGTTACTAGTAGCGATGCCCTTTGTTACTAGTAGCTTCTTGTTCCTAGTAGTAAGTCCTTTAGCTCTGTCGATAGCTCTCCTCAGGTTTGGCAATCAACGATTGGGAGACTTCCGGGACCCAATGGTGGCCGACTTGGTGTCTTGACGGAATTTCTGGTGTCTCTCAATGTCTCTCCTTTTGCCCAAAGGGACCAAAATGTGGATCGGTTGACTCGGCAGTCTAGTTTTCTTTTTGTGCTATGCGGCTGCAGAATCAGCATGCTGATGAAACTTGTGGCAGTCCTGTAGTGTGCACAAGCGAGGTGAACCTAATGGCGATGGCCTCCAAAAACAAAAGATAAAAAACACAGAAAAGAGATAAAAAAGACACCTTAGTAGATGGTCTCCAGCCTAAGTCCTGATGGCCTCGTGGCAGTCCTGCGAGGTGAATACTGGATGCGGGCCTTCAGGATGTGCATTCATTGAGGAGGTCGGGACCGTCGGGATGTGGAAAATTCACGAAGCTGTCCATTCTCAAGTGGCAGTTGCATCATGATTGAACGATTGAAACGGATGTTTTTAAGAAAGGGACAGTTTAACGTGTGACATCATTTGCTGAAACTACCGTTATTCGGTTGGAGGCCATCGCTATTAGGTTTAAGCTGTTTGACATCATTTGCTGAAAGCTTTGTTTTCGCATGTTCTTTCTCTCCAGGTGAGAGCTGCTATGGGGCCGCCCGGGAATTGGACTCGTCCAGACTCCTGGCCAGGCCGTGCTGGGTTCTTTGAGCTCCACCAGACACCCTTTACACAGCGAAACTTTAGCTAAGCGATGCACTTGTTCCTAGTAGCGAACATTGTTTCTACTAGCTTCTTGTTACTACTAGTAAGGCACTTGTTACT